AAGTTTTTTTTTTTTTTTTTTTTTTTTTTTTTTTTTTTGAGAGTTTGGAGGGTGCATGTGCTTGTCAGAAAGACATAGATAGGAAGACAGAAAGCAAGAAATCACCCCCCAGGGGAGATGGCCATGCTGCAATCCTTTCTCCTCCATTCTCCTCTTGGGATCTTGGGCATGCACGCACACGCACCTGGCGTGAGTTTAAGCCACCGGGTCCGGGACTCGTATCACAGTCAACTACATGGGAGTCCAATGACAAAGCCATTACACTAACTGCTGGTCCTGGGAAATTTTTTTAAGTATTAGGCAGAAAAAATAAATTGCGGGATAACCACTCTTATGTGGAAGTACAGAGGAAGGAATTTGGTAGGAGTTCAGAAAGGACTTTATACATCTAATATTTTTTAAGATAATACTTTAAAGATGAGAATAATTTGAAAAATGGAATAGAGAATATGGTTCTATGTGGTTCCTAAGCCAAGTGAGACAAAAGCAAGATCACAACCACCTAGGTATTACCATCACTATGTCTCTTCAAAGAGAGAAGAAAACCATTGCCTGTACATAAAACTATATGCTATCCTATTTTTTAAATTTATGTTTCTCTCATACTTCCAGGGATTAGTAGAGTACTTGGTGTATCACTTTCATCAGTGCTTACTAAGTTTAGTTGAACAGGCCCTAAAGAAATGAATGGAAAGGCCAGCCTGTGTCATAGTGGTCAAGGTGCTGGACTCCCACATGTCCAACCATAGTTTGATTCCCAGACCAAGTGACTTAAAACTCACACTGGGTGCATGTGCGTGTGTGCCTAAAAACAGAATGAAGAGACGGAACTGTCATGTGGCCATTCCCCTCTTGGGAATGATTTCTTACTTTCTGTCTCTCTGACTCTCTAGTGAATGCACATGCCCTCTAGTAAAAATCTCTCAAGAAAAAAAGAAATGAATGTAGATCTATCTATCATCTATCTATCTATCTATCTATCCATCCACACACATACACACACACTCACACACACATACACATATAGAGAAACACTTATACATATTGTCCTTGGAGTTTGTTGGTTGGATCATTTAAGGTTTACTTGGTATTCTAAAATGGTTAAATCTTATATCTAATTAATAAATGAAGGTGCAGCCATTTTCTCTAAGAATCGGTGCCTTACTATATGTGAAAGAGGAAATGAAAACATGTTAACAGGAGTAGAGGTTAAAATTTGTGATTCTTAGAGACAAAATTGCATTTGAAGTAGCCTAGAGCATTATACATGCCATATAAACATTTCCAAATAATAGTATATTTGAATATAGCTATTGAAATCCTTTTTCACAAAATAAACCAGTATTTTACTCTAAAAATAGGATCCAAAACATGGGAAAATCAGTTGCTACCACATTAATGTGCTCCCTACTATACATGTAGGGAGCAATAACTCATACAAGTATGAGTTGTCATACTTGTAAAATGTCAGTTGAGGGCTGGCTTTGTGGCTCTGGTGGTTAAGAAGCCAGATCTAAATGATAAACTGTGGTTCAGATCCTACCCTGATGGCCTGTAAAATACACCAGGCACAGGTGCCCAAAGTCCTAACAGAGGATGTAAAAGTAGAGGAGAAGGGATTGTGGCGTGACCATTCCCCATTGGGCGGGGGCACGTTCTCTTTCTCCCCTACTCTCTCACTGCTGTCTCTCTCTGGTAAATTTGCACGCACTTTGGCAAAAAACAAAAAACAATTGACCATCCAGTTCACCCTATTGGGTTAGTAGCCATGGTCTTTGTCTGTGTATTGTTTCTTTAAGAAAGGGTGACATTTCGGGTTTGGTTAGTTCTCTTCCTGAAGACTTTAGCTTTGTTCATTAATAAGTTTGGTGAAAAATAACTTGGGGGCAAGCATGCGATGTAATAGTTAAGACAGCCGATCCCACATAGTTGGCTATGTGGTTTGAGTCCTGGATACAGCAGCTTGGAAAACACGCTCTGTGTGTGTGCATATGTGCCAAAAATCCTGAAAGGAGATTGGAGGAGAATGGATTGCAGCATGGCCATGAGGGTTTGGCTTCTTTCTCACTTTCCTTCTTTCTCTCTCTCTCTGTCTCTCTCCAGAGAATATCTATGCCCTTGAGCAAATTAAAAAGAAAAGAAAAGAAAAGAAAGAAAAAGAAAACCTGTAATCTAGTCTTAGATGAGTATGTTTCTTGCTAGCATTATCAAAGTGTTTTGTTTGATTCTAGGTCCAGCAGTTCAAGCAGGATCCACGTCCAACAACATGCCTTCACTCTATTTTCAATGTGCACACAGGAGACGAATTGCTCTCCTATGAGGAATTTGGTCATCTTCAGGTAAAAAGAGATTCATTTTTTTAATACTATAGGCCACAGAAGAGTTGAAGCTGGTTTTTAAAAACATTCAAGGAGATTTTATAAATTGTTCAAAAGAGAAGTATACAATAAATCCTGAAGTTGATAAGAAAGTGAAATGTTAACCACTGGGACTGCTGCATTAATTACTGTGAATAAACATTACATCTGCATTTTTTATCTCAAGCAAAAAGCACAACTGGTTAGGTTATAAAATTATTTCTATTTAGAAGGAAGCCTTTTCTATAACAAAAATTTTTACTTGTTACTTGTTATCAAATATAGGAGAATTTTAACATGTAGGAATGAGAGATAATTGACAGTGGTATATTATAACATCAAATCAGAAGTTTTTGCTACACAGCAGTTTATTTTTTGATATATCAGCCTTCAAAAAGCTAAAAACGTATCATTGAAATGTAATTCTAAAAGATATTTCTGAAGTCTGTAAGTTTTGTCTTATGTAATATATTAAATTTTTTTTACCTGTACTAAAAATAAAAATACACCATAGGATTTTGCATGTTTTTTTTCTTTTTCACATCTTTGTGTTGTCTTTAGCTGGACATTCCTTTGCCCTATTTCCAGAATACAAATATTATGCATACTATTTATTTTTAATGGATCTGCTTTCTGCTCATCATTTGGTTCTGCTATCTTTGGAATAGAATACTTATTATTCATATATTCCTTACTAAAATAAGAATATCTTCTTTTTATAGTCTCTCACTCTCTCTAGAGATTTGAAATGTCTTTTAGTATTTCTCCTCCAAACACAAGAAGTGTAGTGTCCCCATTTCTATCCAGCAGAGACTCTTGTACTTATTTGTAAACAGTTCCTTGGAGCTTTAGTGTTGTATGAATATTTAGTTTTTCAACCTTACCCTCCCAAGTATAACATAATTAGATTTTATGAGCCTTTTGCTTTGACAGCTCTATTTTCTGAAATAGAATTTTTAGAAGATAACAGCTCTTTTATTTTTGTATCCCAGAATTTAAGCTCAGTGCCAGGCACATAGTAGGTATTAAGTAAATGTTGACTGACATGTTTTTGGAAATCCCTTTAGAATTGACTATTTAATAGCTTCTCACAGAAGCATCCTGAAAGTCAGAGCAGAGAGCTCATAGAGATGTTCCTATAAATGACTGTCCATAGGAATGAAATTTCTTTGAAGTAATTTCTGACAGGCCATTTGTTAGCACTATAAGAAAATATTTGGGTGAGCCTGGCAGTGGAGTGAGACTCCTCACTGTGTTCTAAAGAAGGTCACACAAAAATTTATGTCTATCTAGAAGAAAAACTAAAACTAGAATACTATTCTTCTTGAGTGGCCCACTTGGACCTTGACAAGACCCTGACACCCACTGGATCGTGAGTGCTAGGAAGTCAGGAGACATCCAAGATAGGCCTGGTTCCTGAGGGGACCACCAGCAGTCCTAGGGGCTTAAGGGTTCCTTTGTCCAAGACTTCTAGAACACCAGTCATTTTCTAACTCACTTTCTCTCAGTCACTCAGTAAGACCTGTAGGAGAGTCAAGGGAGATATAAGCCACCAAGGCTGTTAGAGGGGAGCAATCTTATACAGTAGAATTACATGGAAACAAAATTACATCTTACTTTTTCTTTATTTTTATCTCAGGTTTACAGTTTCCTGGCTAACTTAAAATCTTTTGCTCCTTCCTTTTCCTCTTCCCACTCCCTTCTTCCTTTCTTATTTATAGCTTCATTGAGATATAATTCATATAACAAAAATCTGTTTAAAGCATACAATTAAATGCTTTTTAGTATATTCAGAGTTATGCACCCATTACCACAATTTTAGAGCATTTTTATCACCCAGAAAAAGCAGTGTTCATTAGCAGTCACTCCCTGTTTTTCCCAAAGCCTCTCCAGAACCAATAGGATATAGGTAAGTAGGTAGAGAGGCAGATAGATGAGAAGGGATTTATTAGAAAAATTGGCTAATAGGATTATGGAGTCTGAGAAGTCCGATGATAGGCCATCTGTAAGCTGGAGAACCAGGGATACCAGTAGCATGACTCCATGTAAGTCTGAAAGCCTCAGAACCAGAGAAGCCAACAGTGTAACTCTCAGTTGGAGGCTGAAAGTCTGAGAGCCTAGAGGTGGGCAATGGGGGTGGGTCTGCTGGTACAAGTTCTGGAGTTCAAAAGCCAGAGAACCTGGAGTTCCGACTTCTAAGAGCAGAAGAAGGGTATCTGGATTCTGGAACAGAGAGCCAGAATTTACCCCTCTTCTGCCATTTTTGCTCCCTCTAGGTCCCCAGTCAATTGAATAGTGCCTGCCTACTTTAAAGGCAGGTCTTCTGCATTGGGTCCACTGACTCACACACTAGTGTCCTCCAGAAACACCCTCGTAGATACCATCAGAAATAATGTTTTACCAGCTACAGCTACTTAGGTATTCCTAAATGCAGTCATGTTGACACCTAAAATTAACTGTCATTCAGGCTTTGTCCATGTTGTGGCATGTATCTTTCCTGCTTCTTTTTCTGAGGCAATTAACACTATTCAGGATTCTATGATTTCGTTATTGTTGTTAAAGTGAGTATTATTGTCTTTATTTTTAAATTTATATCATATGATGTCTATTTTAATAGCATAATAAACTAAAAGAATATCTCATTTGTTTATAAAACTAATTTGTTCATACAGTTTAAATTATGTGCTGTATCATTGATTAAAATTAATGTGTTCCTTCAGCTTATATAAATTCTGTATTGTCTGATAATAAGACTATTTTCAAGATGCACTGCCTATTGTTTATGGTGTACTAGCATACTCATAATGTCTTGCGTGCCAAATAACTTTTTCATTTACATATATTTGAGATGGATTGACATTACATAGCTGCCTGTGGGGCAAAATTATTCCAAAGTAGTACTTTAGATCCAGAGTTTAAAAATAAATTTGAGAAAACAAATGTTTCAGAGCAATTGCTAACAATTCTGTTTGCTGCTGTTTCCCTAATCAAGTGCTACCCATCACAATAAATTTGAGGATGTTACAATTTTACATACAAAGCTGGGATTTTATTATGAACTAAATTTACAGCTTCTTTTTTTCACAGTAGGAAGAGAAATCGCTTTTATAACACTATTAGCGAAAATGACTTGTAATTTTAGCCTTTATGTTTATTTTTATAACACGATATTTTTGTTGTTTCTTTTAACCTTTTACTGTTCCGTTTATTTCAGATAAATGCAGTGTCACTTTTTCTTCTTTACCTTGTGGAAATGATTTCCTCAGGACTCCAGATTATCTATAACACTGATGAGGTATGATTTTTCAAAATTCTCTAATATTAAATTTTATCTCTGAGAATAACTTTTTTTAAACTTTGAAAAAGATAGTTTTAGTACAAAGAGAATTGGTTCTTAATTTCATAGAATCGGATGTTGTGATATTAGATCAAAACTATGTATATTTTCCATACATTATACTTTAAAAATGAACACACTATGTACAGATTGTAAAATTTTACTCCAGTGAAGGCTGTATTTGAGGTGATCTAGAATATAAGTGTCTAACTTTCAGAAAATTTTAGTGACAATTAAAATGCGGTACCATTTGCAGATTTTCTGTTTTGTCTTTTTTTCTTTTTCACATCATAGCTTTTTGTAACCCATCTTTTTAAAAGTTAAAAGAAACTTTTATCATATTGTATTTTTTCATTCGTGTGGGACCTCAGTAGGGTTCTTCATGTTTTCGAAAGACAGATACCATGCTCTTATTGTTATTATTAAAATTATAAAGAATTTATATCTCAAAGTTGAGAAGCATTCTTTCACAGGCACTAATGCTCGAACACCCAGGCACACATGCTGACACACTTTGAAATGTGCAACAAAGGGAGAAGAGCGTTTACTATGGAGATGGCCCATACAATGAGAACGCCATCACAATGTAGGTATACTCTCCATACCAGTTATTATTCCTCTCCTCTGATCCCTTCAGGGAGGAACAATTACTAGGATCATCATTGGATTGTTCCCAGGGTGCTGTGAAATAGGGACATGCATTTCTGCCATCCAGTACTTTATAATCTTGTACCTCTTTATACTGTGTGAGTTAATAGTTTTATACAGTAAGAATACCTGATTGATTCTTTCTATTTGATTAATCAAATAATTGCATGCTGTCATTTCATTCAGATAATGCTTAATTTTTATAATATTGTTAAATACTAGTTTTCAAGCATTTTGAGTGAAGGAAGGGGTGCGAAACTATTTCAGACTAATTTTAAACAGCATCCTAAAATATAAAACAATAAAAAGAGGCATGATTCAGACTGAGTAGAAGATGGCTTCTAGAAGCAGCCTATTTAGTTTCTGATTTCTTTCCATTCATAGAACTTCCATAGCACTAGAAAATGTGGTCCAGCTCCCAATGGAACACAGGGTCTGATAACTATTTACAATAGAAGGTAACACTGTTGCAAGCAATTCCATACTAATATTACTTGAGGTAAAATGGTAGTTAGTGAAATTTCTTAGCTGTAACTTTGTCTTTTTTTTTTTTTAATCTTTGAATTTAAAATTTTGTTTCCTCAATATCTACCATAATTCATTTAAATTCTTTGTCACATCCTTTCAGGAAAAAAAAAAATGTAGCCTCTGATATTTTTCTTTCCAACTCAAAGTTTAAATGGAAATAAGCCTTAATCAAGGTTAATACTTGGTCTGCAGAACTACCGTATTGACAGAAGTTTGTCAAGTGGTCCAGTATGCTCCAGTTCCCTTAGATAAATATGCTTGAGTATTGCTTCCATAAATAAACGTTTGCTTTCTCAGGAATGGTCATGTAGTTGCTTTTTAGCTTTTTAGAGCAAGCTTAGTTTGCAAACCTTTTAATAAAAATGTATCCCAAAAATGCAGGTGCTTGTTTGGCCTGAAAACTGGGATGTTTTCCTTCACTGTCTGTGTTTCATATGCTATTTATATTTTAGTTTGCAAAGATGTTTTCAACCATCTGACCTAGAAGCTCTTTTCAAGTATATGATCTTTCAGACTGGATGACACATGGAATTGCTTTCTTCTGTATTAGTTGTCAATCACTGTACAGCATATTACTTCAAATTTTAGTGGCTTAAAAAAAATAAATACTGTTTCACAGTCTGTGGTCAGGAATGTTGGAGCAACAAAGCTCCATGGTGCTGACTTCTGGTCTATCATAAAGTTGTGTTTAAGTTGTCAGCTGGGTCTGCAGTCATTTAGTGGCTTTTCTGAGACTGGAAAACCCACTTCTAAGACAGCTCACTCATGTGGTTGTTGTTAATAGATCTTTTTTTTTTTTTTTTTTTTTTGACTGTGAGCAGAGGACCTCCACAGAGCTGCTTGAATGTTCATACTCAAGCATATTAGATAACTTCCCCCAGTCAGTGACCCAAGAGAGCAAGATGGAAGTGTATTTGTGACCAAGCCTTGGAAGTGAAACTCCCTCGGTTCATAATATCCCACTTATTATGCTAGAAAGCCCTCTTCTATTTAGAAGGAGACCACAAAAGGGCTTAAATACTAGGAGTTAAGTATGATTGGAAACCAGTCTACTACATTTAACAATAGCTTCTAGTTGAACTTCCAGTAAGAGAGATTTTTTTTTTTTAAGATGTGATTTTCCCCTTTTATATATCAAGGCATTGATTGATTGATTGATTGAGAGGTTTTTGCTATCGGGTGCGTGTGCGCGCCAAAAAGACAGAGAGGGACAGAGAGACAGAAAGCCAAAAATCACCCCCCAGGGGGGATGGCCACATCGCAATCCCTTCTTCTCCCTTCTCCTCTCTGGATCTTGAGCACACAAACACACACACCCAGCATGAGTTTAAGCCACTGGGTCCAGGACTTGAACCATGATCTACTACATGGGAGTCCAGTGACATAGCCATTATGCTAACTGCTAGTACCTCAAGACTTTTAAAGTTATGTATTTTATTTATTTTATTACTACTCACTGAGCTTTGACTTGATTTGCATGCATGTTTTTGCTGTAAAATATGAGCAATTAGGCAAATAGCATCAGTAAAATTGTTGGTGAAATCTATGGGAAAGATTTTAGTGGAAACATTGATAACTCTGGGGAAAAGAAGGTGAGACAAGGAAATACTGAATAATTCTTTTGAGGGGTTTGAGTCAGCAGTGGATTTTGTTTAAAGTTGGGGTTAGAATGATGGGAAAGGTCCAATATTGATGAAAAATTTAAGGATTCAATATAGAAAAAAGTATTGAAAATAGCAATGTTCTCAACTATGCAAGATAAGATGATATATATATATATATATATATATATACACACACACACACACACACACACACACACATATATATATATATATATACAGATAGATAGATAGAAAGATAGATATAGATATAAAAGCAGATATAGATACATAAATAAATGTAGAGAGCTCATTTTCAGCTAGGATTCCTAATAGTTGAGACAGTATAGCAATAAGGAATGTGAATGTATGGGCTATATATGGGCATGATGATAAATACAGAGTTTGAGTTCTCTTCTGATTGCTACTATTAATAAATAGAATTCAAGAATGTCAGCTAAATATGAAAAAGGGATCATGGAAGACCAAATGTTCAAAAGGTAGGAGAAAGAGTTAGTCACATGGGCTTGACTGTCGTTAAGAAAGGATTTTAGAAACCATTTTGATAACTAATTTTCATCATATGACTTCATATAATTGAAGGGTCAGCCTATGTTATGAAATTTGTGGCAAAAACCATTTAAACCAAACAATAGTTTTAATAATTTGGGCATACTTTTATGTCTAGAAATACTCTTAAGATTGGAAAAGTCATGACTTTTTTTGTTCTTAATATGCAAAAATGCCTCATGACTTTTCCAACTACCCAATATTAATCTGAAATGTTACTCAGAAGTCAATGATTTCTTTGAGCCAGGTATATTTTACCACTCTTGAAATTCTTACCCTATAATAAACTTACATGATTATTTGAAATTTTGCTTGAAGGTCGCTTAAAAATAACTAATACTGTATAGAGGTCCAAAGACCACCACTAGGTTTGGTGATTCTCACAGGACTCAATACATAGTCATCCTTGTGGCTAAGATTTATTACAATGAAAGGATACAAAGTAAAGTCAGGGAAGAAAAAAGTGAATGAAACTAAATCCCGAGGATTCAACTCACAGACTTCCAATAATCTCTCTCCATGTGGTCATATACAACACAATTCCTCCTGCATAGACTTGTGAAACATGTATTAAATGTTTTCTACTGAGGAAGGCTGAGGTTTTTATTGGAGGCTGGTCACATATGTACCTTTTAACCTAGCATGTTACAAATTTCAAACTCCCATAAGGAAAGCAAGTATTTATCATGAAACCTATTTATGGAAAACTACTGTTTACATAAACAGTTTATATACACTGTGGTTTAATAAGTGATTCTTTAGTCCTGTCTTTGAAAGAATATTTTATCATACATTATTCCATCTTAATTACAGAAATCTGTAGCTTATGTACATAAATGTTAAAAACTATTTTAGATGTTATAGTCTTTAGACTTTTTAAACAATATACAAATCAGCAAGCAGAACAGTTTCTAAAACAGGTCAGAGTATATGTTATCACTTTTTGTTTATTCCAACTCAAATGAGGAAATTATATGTGAAAATTAACCCAATAGCCCCTTATGTTTGAGAAATGTTACAGATTTGTGAAGAGTACACAATATTTTTAGATTGTGAACATCAAATGAGATAACAGAACTATCGTGCTTACTATGAAGTCACCTCGTTTTTGGGGGGCTTTTGTTTCTTCTTAATGCTTCACTCTACGTCTGCAGTTTCTTGACATCTTAGGATCTTTGCAGGTGCTATTAACCAGATTTCAGTGAAGCTGTTCATTCAGCCATGCATTGTGTAAATTCAAGTATAACTTTTCTTTGTTTCTTTGACCTTTTTTGAACATATATTTTAAAGAAAACTCAAGTATTAAATCACAATATGACTTATATGAAGATTCTAAGAAGTACAAAGTTCCAGGGATAGTTAAGTGTTCATTTCACTAATCTCATCAAACTACTTCATATTGACCCATTATATAGTTTTGTTAGCTTTGATGGGTTGTATTTTATAAGAAAAATTTATCTTTTACTCTAAGTCCTCAAGTATTAGCATACATTTCTTTTTTTTTGAGAGTTTTTTGTTTGTTTGTTTCTTTTTATTTTGTTTTGCTATAGGGCGTGTGTGCTTGCCAGACAGACAGAGACAGAGAGATAGAAAGTGAGAAATCACCCCCTG